CACGAATTTTGCGCACCGGGCCCCTAATTATATTAGTATATATGCAAATTAGTTGTCACAAATTAGGTAGTATGCAAATTAGTTGTCACTCTGTCACAAAGATGACCGTGCCCATAGCCACAAGATGGCAGGGCCCAGTCCCCTCAGCCCCACCACTGAAGTGTCCAGGCCTGTTGGCCAGGCAGGTGGCAGGGGAGGCAGGTGGGGAGGGCCAGGGGCAGAGTCGGCAATCGGAGGAGGCAGGGGTGGAGCCAGTGATCGGAGGGGTCTGGACAGGGATGGAGCCGATGATGGGCACCGATCAGGTGCTTGAGTAATATTTATTGAAACAATTAATGATGTCTAGGATGCTTTCTAGAGAAAATAGCCTTTCTTCTGGAGTGTTTTCTCAGGGCTGTACGTGGTAGAGACATCAATATAATTTGAGGTACTGATATAGAACATTCAGTCATTTCTCAGGCAGTCATGAGATAAAATGGGATGTTTCTCTACCTTTTGAAAGTGCTACTTGTTCATTTTTCTTTTCTTTATAAGTTCTAATATATATATACTAGTAGCCTGGTGCACGAAATTCCTGCACTGGGGTAGGGTGGGAAGGGGCCCCTCAATCTGGCCTTCACCCTCTCCAATCTGCCACCCCTCAGGGAATGTCCAACTACCTGTTTGTGCCCACACTTTTAACAGATAACAGCTCCATTGTTGTTTCTTTCTTGTGCTTAAAACCATTGGAATTAGTAGGTATTCAAAGTGTGTATACATTTTGGGAGGACACCCTGTATATCTCTAGTCAGCAGTGAAAGAAACCAACAGCAGGTTTGGAACCCCCAGACAGGGAACCTCGCTCACTCCCCACATGTCTCCCCACTTCACTTTCCACCTTCGTGGGCAGCAGGAGAATCAACGTTTTCTCTCATTAATTCAGAAAATCGCGTCCTGTCACCTGCTGCCCGGCAGGAGTGTGCTAGGCCCCAAGCAAGCGAGGCTCAGTCAGGGCAGCCTTCGCTCATGGGTGCTGGCACCCAAAGTGCACATTCCTCCTCTACAGTCGCCCCGACTATCCCACTGTTTCACTGAGAGGACAGAATTCCTCTCTGCCTCTGGATTCTTGATCATGAATGCTGACCAAAGGCACCTCAGCAAGGGCCGCCCGTGCCCACCAGGTGTGTCTATCTGCACCTGCTCCTGCCTCAGCACCTGCATTAACCCCCCAGATGTGATCTCGTAGCTGCACTGGCCTCCGTGGGAACAGGGCATCACCACTCCACCCTCTCATTGTCATCTCACAGGCGCCCACCCTCAGCATCCAGAACACCCAGACACTCTCCAAAGGATGTGAGCACATCAGAGGGGATGTGTGCACATCCTGTGGGGGGGTTAGGCATGCTGGGTTGATGGAAGTGCGGTGGAGAGGTGGGGGGAACTTGTGCACGCCTTGGTTTGCAACTGTTGCAGGCACGGGAGGGTGACAGTGTGCTGGGGGATGTTTGCACGCCAGGGGGGGATGTGCACACTGGAGGCCTCTGGCTTTGCAGATCCGCAAAACCCCATGGTGCGGCCAGGAGGACGTAAGTTTGGCCTGCCATGGTGGCTGTCCCTGCGATCCTGCACCTTCTGGGCCAGGAGGCAGATCTTGCACAGCCACTCCTGGGCACTGATGGCCTGCAGGCACTACTTCAGCTCAGCCTGCAGGCTCCACTTGGCATGCTCACAGCTGTCACCACCGCCATGTGGGGAGTACAGGCCACCCTCTGCCGGCCTGCCTCCCCTGTCCAGAGGCTCTCTGTGCTGCTCACCTGCCCAGAGTGACTGTGGCTGGTTGGAAGCCAGGCATTCTGCCCTGCCCAACCCCAGCTGATCGCCTCTGTGCGAGCTGCCGCCCCACCTGGCAGGGTCACAGATCTGTGTCTTGGTCCTGTGGACAGCCTCAAGCACTGCCCCCCACCCTCCAGGACATGGATCCAGGTCCCAGACCGTAGACAGCCTCAAGCGCTGCCGCCCTGCCCAGCAGTGTCACAGATCCGGGTCCCTGACCGCGGACAGCCTTGCCCGCTGCTGCACTCCTTCAGTATGCAAATTAGCCACCATCTTGTTGCTTCAGGGTGGGGGTCCCCACTAGGGTGCCTGACCAGCCTGGATGAGGGGATGATGGCTGTTTTCAGCTGGTCACACCCCCTTCAGGGTGGGGGTTCCCACTGGGGTGCCTGGCCAGTCTGGGTGAGGGGCTGAGGGCCGTTTTCAAGCTGGCAGGCAACTGAAGCTCCCAACCTCTCCTTTTTTTCTTTTTTTTTTTATTCTGGGATTTATTTACCTTCTATGGCTGTTACTGGAGCTGAGAGCCGGCTTTAGCTCTGAGGCTTGGCTCCAGCTCTGAGACCTCAGCTGCTGAAAGCAGGTACTGGGTTTGTTTGGGTTCTATAATTGAAACAATGTTGCGGTCCTGCTGGCTGAAGCCCGGCTGGCTGAAAGCAGGTTTCTGGGGATAGTTTAGGTTCTATAATTGCAACATAGTTGCTTAGACTGCAGCTCAGAGGCCGGCAGTGGCAGGCGGGGAACCTTGGCTTCCTCCTTCACTGGAGCAAGCAAGCCTCCTGTTCACTTCAGCTGCCTGGCTGCCGGCTGCCATCTTGGTTGACAGTTAATTTGCATATCCTGCTGATCAGCCAATGGGAAGGGTGTTGGGGTTATGGTCAATTTGCATGTTTCTCTTTTATTAGATAGGATATTAGTATATATATACTAATATATACATATTAGTATATATATATATATTAGTATATATATATATGTGTGTGTGTGTACTAGTGTATATATATATATATATATATATAGAGAGAGAGAGAGAGAGAGAGAGAAAGTCCTCAAGTTAAAATACACCAATTTCGAAAACCACAGCCTCCTAGTTCACAAGTCAATGCTCAGCCACTGAGCCACACCAGCCAGACTCACACAAGTTTGTTTTTAATTGGCAAACATGCTAAGCTAATTCCTGCCCAGTCCCTTAATAATTGCTTCTACCCAGTAAGTTCTTTTACCTGTTTTTTGTAGGCTCTCTCTTTCCCATCATTCAAATCTCAGCTTACAGTGCATGTAAAAAATTCTTTTCCTGAACTTTCTTGTCTCTTGCTCATACCTCTCCCCATTATATCTGTTTTATTCTCTTCATTAGTTCTTGTTACTATTTGAACTTATTACTTAACTGTTGTCTGCTTTACTGGAATTTAAGTGTTAGAGATCTGAGACTTTGTTTTGTTTATAGGTATATCTCTGGTACACAGAACAGTTTCTGGCACCTATCAGGTGCTCGAGTAATATTTATTGAAACAATTAATGATGTCTAGGATGCTTTCTAGAGAAAATAGCCTTTCTTCTGGAGTGTTTTCTCAGGGCTGTACGTGGTAGAGACATCAATATAATTTGAGGTACTGATATAGAACATTCGGTCATTTCTCAGGCAGTCATGAGATAAAATGGGATGTTACTCCACCTTTTGAAAGTGCTACTTGTTCATTTTTCTTTTCTTTATAAGTTCTCCCTTCTTAAAGATATATGGCAGGGTATGACGTGGGAAAAGGGGGTTGTTAACTAAAGCTTAGGGGACTGATATTCTAGCTGAACCATTTGAGGCTAAAATAAGTTCTGAGAAATTTATCCCAATTGGGGATGGTGATGATGGTTGTGATGATGATGATGATGATGATGATGATGATGATGATGATGATGGGGTAGAGGCAGATTCAAACTTGCTGTTGTTTTAGCAAGTGAAGTGAAGTAGATTTGGTAGTCTGAAAGACAGTTGACAGTGTGGCAGTGTTCAGTGTTCCCAGGCAAAAGGGAACGGGACTTAATTCCTGCGCAAACCTTTCATGGGACTGGGTAATGATCAAGACTGTGAAAATATGAGTAGGGAATGCCAGTCAGAATGTCTACGACCTGTAGTTTTTGGTATCTATCTTTCTTCTTTCTTCTGAAATAATTATAGGTTTATCAGAAGTTGCAAAAAAATAAAAAAGTTCATGGAGGTCCTATATGCCCTTCAAGCTTTTCCCATTGTATAACTAGAAGTACCTTTCTGTTTCTCCAGTTAAATTTAGTTTTTCCTTGAAATGGTAACTATAATGCCAAACCTCAAAGTTAGATAGCCCTCCCCACTTTTGAGCTTTTTTTTGTGAGCTCAAGAGAACATATCCCTTTAGGTTTGTGTGTTGACTGATTCTGGTGGGTTGGCAGACCTAACAGACTCCTAAGATAAGCAATACAGGATGTTTCTAGAGGTAGGAGTACACTATTTATTCACTAACATCTCTTTTAATACTCTTGCAGTCTAAATTTTAAAATAAGGTCTATTAGTTATATACTTTTAGAAATAGATATATACAAAAACTAACTGCCGGAAGCCAGTCCATCCTTGCTGCCTGACACAGTCGCTGCAGGGAAGAAACATCTGCACAGCATATGTTTCAAGGGACCTGGCGTATATGGCATACTGTTCTTAATATGTTTGCTCCCCTCTAACGCTATGTGTTTTAAACAGGACCATCTCCCCGAGAAAGGTTGTTTCCCCAGGTGAGGCTTTTTCCCTGGAGTTAGGGAGGATATAAAACCCCTTAACTAAGTGCCAGGCAGGTAATTAATCACTTTAACTACGAACAATCATGCTTAAGCTACATAATCTTTACTTAGGATACTCTCCTTCAGTTACTTCCTTGTAGCTTAATAGAACAATAGAGTAACCTTGGAATGGAGATAAGAAACACCCTAACCTTTGGAATAGAATTGATAGGATTAAAATCGACTGGTATAAATACAGATGTAACAAGACAATAAAGACAGAACTTGACTGGAGATCCTGGCTAGAGAACCTAGCTATGATGATCAACTGAACGCTGCCTCCCTGTCATTCCTTCTTCCGGGACTCCGTCCACACCTTTGGGAACCCCTGGACCTGCTGGGGTTGGACCCCAACAACTAACCACAGAAAGGCAATCTATACTAATAGAAGGATGGCAGGAGAGTTGGCTGACAAGAAGGACCGTGATGTGTCACCTTCCAAGGAGGAAAGGAAGCAATCTCGGTCACCTGACAGAGAATGTGATAGAGACCGGGATCGGAAATCTTCCCCTTCTAAAGATAGAAAGCAGCATCGGTCAAGGGATAGGCATCGAGAGGGCAGCCGGTCTCGCTCCCGTTCCCGGTCCAAGTATACGGAAAGAGAACGAAGGCACCGGCACTGAGAGCAAGATAAGGAGCGGAATCGGAATAAGGAGGACCAAGATCGGGATAAGGATGGGCACAGACGGGACAAGGACCGGAAACGATCGGTTTATCTCCTGGACGAGAAAAAGATTTTAAATCTCAGAAAGCCAGAGACTCTAAGAAGGATGACGAGGATGAACATGGTGATGAGAAGCCTAAGGCCCAGCCATTATCCCTAGAGGAACTTCTGGCCAAGAAAAAGGCTGAGGAAGAAGCTGAGGCTAAGCCCAAGTTCCTGTCCAAAGCAGAACGAGAGGCGGGAGCCCTGAAGCGACGGCAGCAGGAGGTGGAAGAGCGGCAGAAGATGCTTCAAGAAGAGAGGAAGAAAAGGAAACAGTTTCAAGACTTGGTCAGGAAAATGTTGGAAGACCCTCAGGAGCGAGAACGACGGGAACGCAGGGAGAGGATGGAACGGGAGACCAATGGAAATGAGGATGAGGAAGGGCGGCAGAAGATCCGAGAGGAGAAGGATAAGAGCAAGGAACTGCATGCCATTAAGGAGCGTTACCTGGGTGGCATTAAGAAGCGGCGCCGAACGAGGCATCTCAATGACCGCGAGTTTGTCTTTGAGTGGGATGCATCTGAGGACACATCTATCGACTACAACCCACTGTACAAAGAACAGCAACGGGTGCAGTTGTTGGGGCGAGGCTTCATTGCAGGCATCGACCTAAAGCAGCAGAAACCAGAACAGTCACGTTTCTATGGAGACCTAATGGAGAAGAGGAGGACACTGAAAGAAAAGGAGCAGGAGGAGGCAAGACTCCGCAAACTTCGTAAGAAGGAAGCCAAGCAGCGCTGGGATGATCGTCACTGGTCCCAGAAGAAGTTAGATGAGATGACGGACAGGGACTGGCGGATCTTCCGTGAGGACTACAGCATTACCACCAAAGGTGGCAAGATCCCTAATCCCATCCGATCGTGGAAAGACTCTTCTCTGCCCCCACACATCTTGGAGGTCATTGATAAGTGTGGCTACAAGGAACCAACACCTATCCAGCGTCAGGCAATTCCCATTGGGCTACAGAATCGTGACATCATTGGTGTGTCTGAGACTGGCAGCGGCAAGACAGCAGCCTTCCTTATTCGGTTGCTGGTCTGGATCACTACTCTTCCCAAAATTGACAGGATCGAAGAGTCAGACCAGGCCCTTATGCTATCATCCTGGCCCCCACCCGTGAGTTGACTCAGCAGATTGAGGAAGAAACCATCAAGTTTGGGAAGCCACTGGGCATCCGCACTGTAGCTGTCATCGGCGGCATCTCCAGAGAAGACCAGGGCTTCAGGCTGCGCATGGGTTGTGAGATTGTGATTGCTACCCCAGGACGTCTGATTGATGTGCTGGAAAACCGCTATCTGGTGCTGAGCCGCTGTACCTACGTGGTTCTGGATGAGGCAGATAGGATGATTGACATGGGTTTTGAGCCAGATGTCCAGAAGATCCTGGAGCACATGCCTGTCACCAACCAGAAGCCAGACACGGATGAGGCTGAGGACCCTGAGAAGATGTTGGCCAACTTTGAGTCAGGAAAACATAAGTACTGCCAAACGGTCATGTTCACGGCCACCATGCCCCCAGCTGTGGAGCGTCTGGCACGGAGCTATCTTCGGCGACCTGCTGTGATGTACATCGGCTCTGCAGGCAAGCCCATGAACGTGTGGAACAGAAGGTCTTCCTCATGTCAGAGTCAGAGAAGAGGAAAAAGCTGCTGGCAATCTTGGAGCAAGGCTTTGACCCGCCCATCATCATTTTCGTCAACCAGAAGAAGGGCTGCGAAGTTTTGGCCAAATCCCTGGAGAAGATGGGGTACAATGCTTGTACATTGCATGGTGGAAAAGGCCAGGAGCAGCGAGAATTTGCACTGTGTAACCTCAAGGCTGGGGCTAAGGACATTTTGGTGGCTACAGATGTGGCAGGTCGTGGTATTGATATCCAAGATGTGTCTATGGTGGTCAACTATGATATAGCCATAAACATTGAAGATTATATTCACCGCATTAGCCGCACTGGACGAGCAGGCAAGAGTGGTGTGGCCATCTCCTTCCTCACCAAAGAGGACTCTGCTGTGTTCTATGAGCTGAAGCAAGCCATCCTGGAGAGCCCGGTGTCTTCCTGCCCCCCAGAGCTAGCCAAGCAACCAGATGCCCAGCACAAACCAGGCACCATCCTCACCAAGAAGCGCCGGGAAGAGACCATCTTTGCCTGACACAGCACCCTTCCCACCTGCTTCAAGGCAGGCTCTGAAGCCTGTTCTTCAGGACTCTCACTTCTCCCTTTCCAGGTCCTCATTCTTACAGGGGCTTAGGAAAAATTCAGACTGCTTGGCTAGACCCTCAGGTTTGATGGCCTGAGCGTGGACTGCAAAGGAGGGAAGCTGCTACAGGAGACAGGGAGAACAAATGACCACAGGTTTGGGCCCAGCTCTGCCCCTCTGGCTGACTTGGGGATTGCCAGTGTCAGGGCCAGCCAATGGCTTTGCCTCCCAGGCTGCTGGAAGGGCTTCTTCGCACAGACTTGACTGCATAAGCTGCAGCAACACTGTTGCCCTAGATGACCCAGGGGATCGGCACTGTGAGGATTATGAACCTTGGACTCATTGTCATTTTGATAGCATTTGCCCTTTTGGATTATAAAACAAGGTGAGAGCCCTGTGCCGAGGGGTGCTGTGCACCCCAGGCCTCTCTCATCCAGGGAAGTTTTTTAGATGTGGGTCAGGGTGAGCCAGCTGTGTCCATCTTGAAGTCACTGGGTAAAATTTCTGTTCTCTATTCTCTGAAAAGATGAGTTTGTATGTTCTGAGAATAAATACATGAATATTAAAAAAAAAAAAAAACCAACACACCAATTTCTCAGGAGGTGTTTATAATAAGGGACTCCTGCCCTGGCCAGTCCAGTGTTGATCAGTGGTTAGAGCACTGGCCCACAATCCAAAGGCTGGGGGTTCAATTCCAGTCAAGGGCATGTAACTGGGTTGCAGATTTCCTGCCCCAGTTGGGGTATGTATGGGAAGCAACCAATTGATGTAGGTCTCTCACATCAATGTTTGTCTTTCTCTCTCCTCTATCCTCCTCCCTCCTCACTTCCACTTTCTCTGAAATCAGTGGAAACAATATCCTCCAGTGAGGATTAACAAAAAAATTTAATTAATTTAAATTTTTTTTTAAAATAATTGACTCCTGGCTGGAAGCCAGGAAGATTTCTCCTATACCTCTACATATAAAGGGGAATTTCATGTATTGGATCTTGAGTTGTGCTGTCTTGTTGGGGTATAAGATGCTGTCATCTCAAGTACACAGATTTCAAAGTCATGCAAAACTGGGATCGAATTCTGGCTCTACCACTTACCAACTGTATGATCTTGGGGAATTTCTTGAATTGGTTCTATTTTTATTAACTAGGGCAATTAAAAGTTATCTCATGCAACTCTTATGGGTTTAAAGGTAGATATGTAAAACATTTGGCAGGGAGGAGATGCTCCTCACTAGTTAATTCTCTTTTCCTAATAAATTATCATCTTTCACAACTGACCCCAAAGCAATTCTTTATTTGGAAATTGCTTATCAAACTTTTCTGCTACAGATCTAAATTGATATTCATTTTTAGCAATGCACAAGCTATGAGTTTTAATTTTATATTTACACTTGAGGCCTGGTGCACAAATTTGTGCAGAGGTGGGGTCCCTCAGCCTGGCTGGTGATCAGGGCCTATCGGTGCATCTTGCCCGGTCCCTACAGGGGCTGGCTGGGCAGGGGGAGGGACCACGGGAAGGTGGCTGGCCACAGGAGATTGGCTGTGGGAGTGCACTGACCACCAGGGCACAGCTCCTGTGTTGAGTGTCTTCCCCCCGGTGGTCAGTGTGCATCATAGCAACTGGTAAACCAGTTGTTCAGCTGACAGGTTGTAAGGGTCACTTAGGCTTTTATATATACAGATTAGCGGCCTGGTGCATGAAATTCATGCATTCGTGGGGAGGGGGGGGGTTCCTCAGCCCTCTTGCAGTCCGGGACCCGTTGGGGGATGTCCTACTGACGGGCTTAAGCATGAGGAGTGAGCCTAAGCCGTCAGTCGGATATCCTTAGCGCTGCCATGGAAACGAGAGAGGCTCCTGCCACCACCGCTGTGCTCACCAGCCATGAGCCTGGCTTCTGGCTGAGTGGCACTCCCCTGGGGGAGCACACTGACCACCAGGGGGCAGCTCTTGCCTTGAGCATCTGCCCCCTGGTGGTCAGTGAGCATCATAGCATCCAGTTGTTCCGCCATTCAGTCAATTTGCATATTACCCTTTTACAATATAGGATAGTCATATACACACTAGTTTATCTTTAGCACTGTGGCATGTATACACATTTAAGTTATATGTATTCTATTTACTAGTAAAATAACTTAAAAAGAGGAAAGCCTCAAAAGTAGCATATTTCAAAAGTGTGAGCAATTGTGCTCTCCATTCTACTTAATTAATAAACACAGGCCTCAGACTAAATTTGAGATGGGAGATTGGATGCTGCTGTTTAACCCTCAAAATCTGCCTTGATTTCTAACTGTACAAGTGTCTCACGATAATGAGTGTGTAAAAATAGCATGTGTTAACAATCATGGCCCCTAAACCAAAGCCAACTGTTTCATCTAGTGCTCATCTGGGAAGCCAGACATTCATTCTAATTTTGGAGGAAAAACTAGCTACATTGGACTATGGTGAGACAGCTGATTCTCAGAAATCTAGAAGCAGATTTTAAACATACTTTGTACAGAAGGTAAGATTTCAATTTATATCCTACTAGAGGCCCCGTGCACAAAATTTATGCATGGGTGCAGTCCCTTGTCCTGGCCAACAATTGAAGTGCAAGTATCTGGCATGAAGGGCAGGTCCCAGCTGACCTCTGGGCCCCCGGGCCCCCACATGCCCCCCTCTACCAAGTCCCCACACAGAGATGTGGTGAGCACAGCCAGACTCTGTGGGCCAGAGCACAGCATGGGCCTCTGGGCTGCCCAGCAGCACTGTGTGGAAGCCAGGTGGGCAGCGCAGTCTCTCCAGGCTGGCCTCACAGACCAGCTCCCGCGCAAAGCCACGGGGAGCACAACCGACCCCTGCGGTCCGAGTGGCTGCCACCTGGCTCACCTGGAAGAGGCTGCACAGGTGTGGGGCGGGCTCCTTGTGGGCACCTGGCACCTGAGCGCGGGCTTCCCCAGTGTGCAAGCCCTGGCGTCCTGGGGGAGGGTAGCAGGGGGAGTGAGAGTGAGCTCAGTGGACACCCCACATTCTCACTGCACCCCTGTCCCTGTCACCCCCGCCCCCAGGTAGCCAGCGAGAAGTCGCAGCCCCCCACCCAGGCACTGAGGGAGGTTGGTCTCCACCACCCAGCCCCAGTTCCCCGGCCCAGCCCGGGTCCTGCTGGCTGCTGGTCGCCATTTGCGGAGTAATCCACAAGGTGGTCAGGCCCCGACTCACACCCGCCTTGGCCTGGCACTGCCTGCTCACCTGCTCCACCATCCCACCATGTTCCCATTCTCGTCCGGGCCCATCAGGGATGGCAGTACCTCCACTGCCACCCACAGCCAGTGCCACATCTCTGATGCCTGCCATATTCCGCACCACCCCTCTGGTGGTCAGCGCACATCATAGTGAGCGATCGAACTCCCAGACAAACAATTTGCATATTAGGCTTTTATATATATATAAACTAGAGACCTGATGCATGAATTTGTGCATGGGTGGGGTGCCTCTGGGTGGCCTGCAGGGATCGGACTGAAACCCACAGTCCAAGCCACCTGCAGCTCCTACCTGCCACTCCCACTCATCCCAGCCCCACTGTGCCTGCCGTGGGCTTGCTCCCAATCAGTCCCGATTGGGAGAGACTCGTGCTGCTGCAGCAGCACTCACCAGTCATGAGCCCTGTGTCTGGCACTCTCCTAAAGGGACTGGCCAAAGGGATTGGGCTGAAACTGCCTCTCCAATATCCCCTGAGGGGTCCCAGATTGTGAGAGGGTGCTGGCCAGGCTAAGGAATCCCACCAGTGCACGATCATTGCTGGGGAGGGGCCGCAGGAGGGCTCGAGGACATGTCCGGCCTATCTTGTTCAGCCAGACCCCAGCAGCAAGCTAACCTACTGGTCAGAGCATCTGCCCCCTGGTGGTCAGTACGCGTCACAGAGACCGGTCTTTCCATTGTCGGGATGAAACCAGCTCTCCAACATCCCCCAAGGGGTCCCGAATTGCAAGAGGGCGCAGGTCAGGCTGAGGGACCCCACTGGAGCATGATCAGGACCAGGGAGGGACACAGGAAGTTGGCCAGCCTGGGAGGGGCTGCGGGAGAGCTCTAGAGAGTGTCTGGTCCATCTTGCTCAGTCCCGATTGGCCAGACCCCAGCAGCAAGCTAACCTACTGGTCAGAGCATCTGCCCCCAGGTGGTCAGTGCATGTCATATCAACTGGTTGATGGGTTGACTGTCTTCCCCCTGGTGGCCAGTGCATGTCATAGCGAGCAGTTGAGCAGCCTTAGCATATCATTAGCATATTATATTTTGATTGGTTGAACAGCCGACCAGACACTTAGCATATTAAGCTTTTATTATATAGGATTTTGCCCTTTAGTAAAGCAAACATACATATCAAAGGGAAAGTTTGGTTTGACAGTCTGATCAATGTTTCTCTATCTCTGGATCTGTTTTTGTTCATCAGTTTATGTTCATTATATTCCATAAATGAGTGAGATCATGTGATTTTTACCTTTTTCTGACTGGCTTATTTAACTTAGCATAATGCTCTCCAGTTCCATCCATGCTGTGTGCATGCATATAAGCCTAACCAATGGACACAGACAACAGGGCGGTGAGAGCATGAGTGGGGGGTTTCCGGAGTAATGGGGTGATAAGGACACATATGTAATACCTTAATCAATAAAGAAATTTTTTTTTTTTTTTAAAAAAGGTAAGGTTTGGTAAACAGTAAAGGATTATCAGTTTAGAGGAATTGCCTTCAATTGTTCAGCGAGCAGCAGGTAATAATATGCAGATTTTCAGCCTTGCTGAATATCATAAAGTCCATCAGCCTTCTGGGGACTTTTCATATTTATTATGACCTGCTGGTCTTAGCCTCCAGCAGTCTAGGATTTTAGTAGTCTTGCTGGCCATGTAAAAACAAGCATTCATACCTATATTATTTCTCTCTGTGTTCATGATTTAAGAATCCTTCAGCTCTGCTTCTCCTTTCCT